AAGAAAGTGGAGGACCTGGCGCTGGTGAGTGGGGTGGGGGCGGCCAAGCTGGAGCAGGTGAAGTTTGAGATCTGCGTGAGCAGCAAGGGCAGCTCGGCGCAGCACTCGCCCAGCTCCCTGCGCAAGGACCTGGCCTCCGAGCACCACCTCTCCACCACCAAGATCAACATCAACACGGCCACCCCGGCACAGCTCATGAGCATCCGTGGCATCACCGAGAAGATCGCCAACAGCATCGTGGACTACCGTAAAGAGCATGGGCCCTTCAAAAGTATTGAGGACCTGGTGAGAATGGACTGCATCAATTCCTCCTTTCTGGACAAAATCAGGCATCAGATTTTCGCAGAGCGCTCCAGGCCGCCTTCAACAAACACTAATGGTGGCCTCAACTTCATGGCCAAGCCTCACCCCAGCCCCACTTCTCTGAGCCTCCAGAGCGAGGAATTGGACTTCCCTCCTGGGGGTCCAACTCAGATCATATCCACTCGCCCGTCTGTGGAGATGTTCGGGGGAGTGAGAGATGGCAGACCCGTCCTGAGGGTGGCTACCTGGAATCTGCAAAGCTGCTCCATTGAGAAAGCCAACAACCCAGGCGTGCGGGAAGTTGTGTGCATGACGCTGCTGGAAAACAGGTAAGAGGCAGTGCCTTACCTGCAGGCCCAACTCCATGCAGGATTGTAGGTTAATGCCTTCTATGTTTGGGCACTGTACTGTCCCACTGTGATCCTAGTGGGACTTGCTCCTTCACAGCATTGTTAAATTTTTCCCACTTTTTCATGGAACCTTCGTTGAGTCTTAATGCTGGGTCTGTAGTGACTATCCCTCGATAAAGATGCTATAATTCTTGATAGGTACTGGACTTCCTGAGGAAGTATGTGTGTGCACATATGTGTGGGAAAGACTGAGCTGTTACAGTCAGTCACGTTAGATCTGTTAATGGTTGGTCAAGGATTGTTTTTTCATCAGGAGCCTTTTGAACAAGTCATGGAGAACTGCCTTTCCTGCCAGAAGCAGGGGTCAATAGCAGGGAAAGGGCTGTGTAACAGGCGTGGAATGCCACAGCTCATCCTGCAAGGATGACACAGCTTGTTAATGAGTGGTCATGGGGCATCTGCTGAGCTGGAGGCACTGTTCATCCTTGGGGTTGTGAGACATGGGTCAGCTGCCTGGGGAAGCTGTGCTGTCGTGTGCCAGGGGGGCCTGATTGTACTGAGCTTGGGGGCATGGAAGCTGTGCTGTCGTGTGCCAGGGGGTCCCTGATTGTACTGAGCTTGGGCGCATGGAACAAGTCATGGTAGTGTGGTCAACTGGAATGGTACTTCAGGTGTTAATGAAAAGCTGAGTTTGGTCTTTGTTTTTTGTTTGTAATTGGGCAAGAGTACTGGGGATGTCTCTCTTGCTAAACTTTCTGCTTGGTACAGAAATGTAAGATGCAATGAGGATTTTGAAATAACTCTTGCCCTTTCCTTTCCATGTGTCAAATCTGTCCCAGCTGATCTGGCATTTAGCATCGGTAAAGTAAACTTTTCCTCTCTGGCTGCCATTCAGACTTCTAGCTAGAAGTGAATAGGGGCAGATGACTTTTGGACTTTTGCAAAAGGGATATTGTGGGGAGGGGAAGTGCTGATGAATCGTTATCTGTAGTACACTGCGAGCTCTGTCCTTTTCCAATAATCTGCTGAATAATGGCTCTTGTCGGTGCGGTTGCGGAGGTCAGGCACGCGAGAAGGATGGTGACAGTGATATGACATCCTGCACTGCAGTACAGTATTTCTGGTTGGGGATACCTCTGCTGTGCAGTGCTTGGAAGACTGATGCTCCAGCATAGGAAACATCTGTCATCTCACAGCCGTCACTGTTTGATACCCGAAATGAAGACGGTAGGCCAGAGGGAGTACTGAAGTGTTATGCTGATGGCTTCAGCCTAGCACCTTCCAGTGTTCTGCTTTGCTGGTTCAGGTATCCTGTGCTTCCCCCTTCATCTTCACTCCTGTTTTTTTTGTGAGAAGCTGGTTGGCTGGAGCGAACTTTAGGATGAAGTCTGGTGGGGTTGGGCATTAGGGTAGGGGGCAGAGAGACCTGCTGAGGAAACAAACTCAGATTATCACTAATCTGAGGATTATTCTAATATTCCAGTTTTGGAAGAAAAGTGACTTTGCTATAATTTTTATTTATGAGTGTGGGTGTGTGTATATATATATATATATATCTCAGAGATTTTTAAGGACCAGTAAAGTGTTAACTGTCTGTCACTTCTGCATCTTCAGCATTTTGGGGTAAAAAGTCTAAACAAAACAGTCCCACCTATTACAAAAGCTAGGTAGAGAGAGTGACTTGTAAAATAAACCTGCCTTAGCCCAAACTGGCCACTGTGTTTGCAGAGTGTGGCCCTAGCAGTTTGTTTTATTTGTGCTCTTAGGATTGCATGTACTTTGTTTCCGTCCGGCTTAGCAAACAGGCTCTCAGTTGTGCTGGGTGCTGTGAAAGGTCTCCCTGATACTTTTGAAGTTTCAAAGGAGCCTGATATAAGTACTTGTTTGTGTTCCGTTTTATTGCACATATCTGTGTCATCGATCACACAGGGAGAGTACGATGCAATTGTTTTCTATACTTGATCCTATTTGCGATAACATGAGAAGCTAGAAAGAAATAAGAGTTATGTGCGTCCACAGACAAGCCTGCAAAACTTTCCTGGGAAAATAAACATGGGAACAGAAAAAGCAACATGATGCAGGAAAAAAGTATACGTTGGGAATAGCCACACTCAGCACCTCAGGGAGGAATTTCCTCTTGCTTGTGTGAGCATTGCTGAGGTCAGTGGGACTTTGCAGCTGTGAGACGGCTGCAGATGAGGCCAGAAACTGCCTTCTTTCTGCGTGTGAGCTCTGTGCTCTCCCTCCCAGCTCCGGTCATGTACCCTAGGAACTGATAAAATGTTTTGCAGTCTAATCTTTGTCCAGGTAAATCAGCTTCAGTAGATAATCAGTTGGAGAAATTAATCTCTTGCTTCTGCAAGCACGAATACACTGCTGCATGGGGGTTGTGGGCACTTCAGCCTCACAAAATCTGTGGGATGTGTTTTCAAGGTGCTCTGCATGCTCAGTGGATGTCCCATGTCCGGCTGAAGTCTCCAGCTATGATCCAAGCTGTTGCCAGGTGGATCTGTAGGCTGTTTGGTCTGACAATAGGTAGATGCTCTCACAAGTTACGCTGCTTGTTGACATACTTTGTGCACAGCTGTCCTCATGCACACAAGTGTGCTCTTGTGTGCTGGTCCGGTCTCACGTAGTCACGACGCTCTCAGGAACTGGAGTACCATCTTATTGCAATACTCATGTTGGAGGGACCTGCCTCACCTAGCATTCTAAATCCAGAAATAAAGCACAGTAAGTCAATAAGACTCATAAAACTGGACAGAGCAGTAAAGAATCTTAATTGGACATACTGGCAACTTCCACACCAGTTAAAAGGCTGCTTTGGGGCTTGCATTTTTATTTTTATTTTTTTTATTATCGTGGGCAGTTCACAGCAAGTAGCTTTAAAACCCCTTGGGCTTGTTCTTTCAGGTGTTAACAACAGAGAAAATTACTGCTCATTTCCAGGTGAGGCTAGAAGATGAAGGTCTCCTGTCTCTCAGCCCTGCATTGTCCTTTGCACTGAGGGAACAGTCGTGCAGGAAGGAAAGAGGTCCAAACACTTAAAAACAAACAAAAAGAAAGAAAATGCCATATTGTAATCTGCTGAAGGAAGGAGAGAAAAACAGCAAACTCAAAATCTTGACGCTTGTTCCCAGAGGTGCTAAATTTCTCAAGAGCAGCAAAAGGAATGTATTCCAAATTAGTAAGCATGACTACTACTGCTAAGCTGTTTTGAAATTCATCACTGCAGTACAAAAATAATGAAATACAGTAAGGTCTTCACCCTCTTTTCTCATATTACAAAGATCTATGTTTATCACAGTGTTTGAAGTGGAGGAGCGAGGTGTTTTCATTCAGAGAACTAGAGGGTAATTTTAGAAGAGCTTAACATGATGAATGAGGAGGCGAGCGTGACACATAATTGGATTGAAGTTTCAAATGTGGGGTGAATTTGTTCAACCCTGTGATGTTTCTTGCAGGTGCTGTTCAGCAAATTGGGGATTTATTGACAGGGGGCAAAGTTGGCCTATCTGTGGGGATGCAGGTCATCTCCTCCAGCTGGCCTCAGTGTCCTCCTCATTCTTGGGGATCTGAAGAAACCAACTGCTGCTTCTCGCCAAGAGAAAAAAAGTAGGTTAAGGTAGCATGATCAAAAGGGCAAGGACATTCAGGTCAAAGGCAACAAGTGTTTTTGTGGGGAGGATAAGTAGCCCTGGTGGGGATGTTTCAGCATGGTTCTGTACCCCAGGTTCATAGGTTAGGGCCCTCTTTCCTCTTCTCATCTGTAGCTGCCTCAGGCCTGTCTCTCCTGGCCATAAACCTAGCTTGTGACTCTGATGACACCCTGTGACTGCTCTCTCTGGCTGTCAGGTGTTGGGGTGCCAGCTGGGTGACCACATTAAGGAGTATGATGCAAGCAGGCACTGACCAATGCACACTGTAAATAATGAAGCCTTAACACTTGTTGCAAGAACCACAGAACTGCGGAAGAGCCCAGGTTGAAAGTGATGTCAGAATATCACCTGGTCCAGCCATTTGTGGGAAAGGGAACCTAGATTAAATTATTTAACACTGTGTCCAGTCACACCTTGAAAACCTTCAGCAGTGGAGGCTCTTCTGCTTCCCTGGTGGGTTGTTTCAGGGATTGACTCTTTTCAGTAGAAATTTTTTTTTCTTGCATGCCTGTAGAGTAACAAATACAAATACCCAATACAAGGTTTGTACTTTGCACTGACTGGTGTTTTTTTCTTGGCTTAGTTTCTTGGACAGCAAACCTTAGGAACATGTCAGCCACTCTTCCTCCCCCAGCTTTGTAACTGGTTAGCTGTTTTCACCTTGGTTAGGTAGAACCATAGAGGTCTCTCAAAGGGGAGAAGTTAACCTCAATTTCTGTGTCTCAGAGACTTAAATTGATGTTCCAGTTGTGGGAACAGTAGGTAGACCTCAGCCCAAAATTGCCTTCTGGGAGGCAGCAGGTGGACAGGCTGTCCCTGGGTAACCCTCCCTGTGCTACCATACTTGGACCTTTCTCTTTCTAGCCCTACCTATGCCAGGTTACACTAAGCACACCCTCTCATTACCTATTAAAAAGACAAGTTTATGAACCACCCTCTGAAGGAGCCTCTTCCTATTAAGGGATAAGGAAAAATTCATCTTGTTCAGGTCCCTGCACTGGGCACTGGAGGCAGGAGAACCACTTTCCCATCACACCTCTACATTAAATAACAGGGTGGGGTTTTTGCTTTCCAATCCAGTCTCTGTCTGGGCTGAGAGGTTCAAGGGACCGTTCTTTACTAGTGGGGCTTGATGCTTGGCTTGGGAAAGGGTGAGTTTTGGTACCTTGCCTGCTGGCTTCTAACCATGTTTCCCCATCAGGATGACAGAAAAGGATTGCATGTACACCAAACAGACATCACAGTAATGTAGTTGTACTGATGGTTGTACTTGCAAGCTTTGAAGGCTCAGCACCAGCTTGTATTTGTTATTTCTACTCTGTCACTACAGCTCTTGGTGGTCGGGCAAAGTCCTGAGGTGTGTCTGTTCTATGTCTCTTTCTTTATATAGTCATTTGGTTTTTCTCCATTGGGTTAACACTAGCCTGGACCCTTGCCAAGAATAATTCCCCTGCAAGAAAAGATCAGGAAAGAGGGCCTGGCCCAAGTAACCTGTCTGTGCTAATAAGTCTTAAGCAGCGAAAGAACAAATACACCCTCTTCTCCTTATGTAATAGAGAGGAAATCCTGCCTTCTGCAACTTCAGAAAAAACTTGACAAAAAAGAAATTGTTAGATGATGACATCTATGTGCACTTCAAAAAGGTATTTTAATGAGCAGTAGAAAGAAATATGCATGTAAAGCCATGATTAATTTGCACTTCCTAATACCTCTAGTGCCAAAAAAATAGGGTGATGGAAGAGCTGTTGGTTTTGGGTTTTTTTGGTTGGCTTTTGGTTTGTTGGGATTTTTTAAGGGCTTTTTTGGCCTCTGCTTGTATGAGACCAACAATATTTTACTTACTGGGGACTGATGGGAGACTTGAACTACCTTCTGCATACCATCTGGCAGCAGAAAGCGGCAAGATCTTCTCAGGTCAGACCCTGAGTTATATAGTTTACCAGTGAAATTAAATTCTGCTGATTTACTCCTGTTCAGGATTTGGCCCACTCCTTTGTCTATGTAAAATCACATGAAGGCTGCATAGCTCAATGCTGAAAGGCATGACTAGCTCCCTGCTTCCATCTTGGATAGGGATTCCAGCCACTTTCAGGACTGCCGCTGGGGAATGGGTGATGTCAGTTTCAAATTAATAAAATAAAGTTAATAAAATAATGCATTAATTCCATTTCCAAGCTTCTGCTTCATATGGATGCAGTACTCAGACCCTCTATATCAGGCCATTGCCTGCTCCTCCTGCAGGAGGTGGGTCGCTCGTTCAAGATGCCATGCAACTCCCGAGTCTTTGCAGGAGAGATCAAAGGCAGTGGGTGGGCTTACAGCAAGATCCCTGTGTGCAGACTCTTGGAGAAGGTATCTGGAACTCTGGGCTTTGTAGGAGATCTCACAGGTGAATGCACCAAGCTGTTTGATTGATCCTGTTTGGTCTCTGTTGATAGCTGTGAATCTGGTGGGTTTGCCACAGCCTCCACTGCTTTCCTTCCTCGGAAGAAGGAAAGAAGTCCTACACAGGAATGTAGGACAGCCCCTTGAAATCACCCCTGAGTAGCCTTTGCAGGGATTTTCTCTTTTAAATGGAGATCTGGGTATCATTTTAACTTTGAACAACTTCCTCAGTGTATTCCTTGAACATTCCAAAAGCTCTATCTAACCAGTCATTTCTATCTGCTTTAAAGTTGAGAATGTGCCTGGAAAAATGGTATAGTTAAAGGCTGGCATATCCATATAAAACAAACTTTAGTTTTCTTTTTTTAAAATTATAAGTATGCCCTGCCACTGTTACTTCTGCCATAACGCTTGACTTAAAATGAAACAGATTAGTGAGGAAAGTGTTGGTTTCTACGTTATTTTGTCTCCCAACATGTAATTGATACATCTGGCAATACTTAATGACTACATAGTTTCAATCCATGCCTGCTGGGCTATTCTGCACAAGGGTTTCATGCCACTGGGTTCATGTTGCAGATCACAGGTATTTAGGTAAACCAGAGCTGCCTGCTTACTCCTGAATCCTGGGAGGTTTCCTGTATTCCATGTGGCAAAGATTAAATGGGTTGGCTGATTTATGGTCATAAATTGGTGAAATATTAAGTGATGCTCCACTGCCTGCTCCTGGATAACAGAGGCCACAAGACTATAACTTCATCCTGCTAAACATTTCCAAAAGCTTGTGCCACACAACTGTAGAAGACTGACTTGGTATCTAGGCACAGGGGTCCATCCTGTAAACAGAAATATTTAATGCTTTGTGATTTCCCTTCCCCCCCCCGGCTTAGGAATTCATGGTACAACTGCAGAAAGGGTGATTTTCTAGTTTTGTCTTTGGAAAGAGCAGTAGGACCATTCCTGAAGGCAAAAGATGCTGCTGCTGTTCTTACTAGGAAAGAAAGACTAAGGGGCTACAAAAATGCATATTAAGTACCCTTAAGTTTCTGATAAGGTGCAAGCAGAAACTTGGTCAGTCCCTGTTAACTAGAGGAAAACACTGTCTCTGCAACCATGTACTGGTCTAGTTCATTGTGAACATGGGTCTCCAGCGGTGTTAAACAGGGACATTTAGGAGAAAATCTAGTTTTACAGATTTATCTGCACCCTACTTGATGGTGTTGGGCTTTGGCATGTTTCCTACAGCTGCATTGTTAGAAGGACCCTGCTTCTTTGGTCTCTAATTAGTGTTTCTTTGGGAGGCTTGCCCAAATCATGATTTCAAGGCTTGGCCGGATGAGCAGAGAAGAGGTGATAGGGCATAGATTACAGTGTGCATGTAACTTATTTTTAAGTTGCATTGTTCTTTGTTGTGATGCAGGTGTAAGCTGACGGAAGGAGGCACAGTGTCCTTACTGAAATAATTACCATATGCTGCAGTAATTTCTCAACACTATTGTATGGTGTGGTGATGGAGACAAGAACCATGGCACATTATTAATAACAGTGCTTAAAAATAGGAACTCAGTAGCTTCTTCACTTCCAGATTTTTAATTTATTATTTTACAGAGAGACTGTGCTTTGTTTGAATAATAGTTGGCAATCTCCCCTGATTTATCAGGAAATAAAAGTGCTTTTTGGCTTTGCTGAGGGGAGGGTGAGACCTACCTCCTTTCTCATGTTGGAGATGTGGATGTATTTTCCAACAGGCTTTGGTCTGGTCCCCTCTCTCATCTCTGGCCTGGGTGATTCTTGGTGGGTTCTGAAATGCCCTGTAAGGTGCTGAGAGCAGAGTGGGCATCATATGAGCAGCAGATAAATACTGAAAGGAATACATAGCTGTGGTAAAAAGGATGTTTTCTGTCATTGAAGTGTTTCATTTTACTTGGGGCATGTGCAGCTTATCCATGTCCGGACCAAGCTGTGTGGCATTTTCAAATTGCATGAGTGTTTTAAACTGCTCGGTCACCATCGGGGAGGCTCAGCACCGCTGACCTGCTTTCCATCCCTGCTGCCAGGGGTTTGTGCAGCCAGGAACCCAGTGGCAGTGCCAAGCTGTTATTTTTCAGTGTCTGTGAGATAAAATTATTAGAGGCCAGTGAGTAAGAGAAATACCTTGCATGTGCCCCACACATGTCCATGTTCCAGAAGTTCAACTGTGTATAAAAATGTAATTTAAAAACCAGTTAATTCCTACGGAAAAATACATTTGGGGTCGTATTGTCATCTGTGCTAAGGATAGCTGAGTATACTGTGATTACTGAATGCACTGTTTGCAGTGGAATAAATGCAGCCTGCTTGTGCAGAATGGATTGGAGTCCCTCTGACCAGTGCTGTCTGGAAGGGACCTCATGGCTATGCAGGTTGTCTGTCTGTCTGTCTGTCCTATCCCTGTGTC